AAAGTACTTACATTTTAATTAATGTATTCCATTCGATCCCATTTTGATTTCACTCTATTTATGGAATACAGGAAGTTGAACAGATGCGTATTAGCTTAGCCAATTAATCAACATCAGCACACAAATCAGTTAAGGAAAAAAGAGCATTAAAGTCCTTTTTGATCCGCACTACTCAAAAGCTTCTGCTCAAAGCAGCGGGCAGAGGAAGGTGGGAAGCAGCTTCCACCACCGCGACTGCTGTGGGCCATGCCCAGCAATTCGGCTCAAGCACAGCTTTTTCACTTGGGTGAAAGCGCCCCGTTCGCCCTGGCTGGCACACCCCCCCACATTACGCGACACAGTCAGGAGGCTATGAAACTGTGAAGGATCTGGAGCCACCACGTTAGATTTGGATTGTATCTGCCTTTATCTGAAGTTGCTTCTTAAAGGTGTTGACAGTCCAGTGGCGATGGGAAGAAAGATTTGAAGTTTCCCACTAATTTAATTACCATCCCAAAACTAGATTTTCATAAAGATTTTACTTCGTGAAGACATTTTTCACAGGCTTCTCTCAGGAGCAGCAAACTGAAATTCTCAACAGATGTTAAAAAAAAACCAAGACATACCAGTTGGTTAGTCTCAGAAAAATGGAAAGTAGAAGGATAAAAGTATCACCAGCATACCAAGTAAATTATTTATAGTTTTTTTCACATCACATTTGTTCCATGGGCAAAGCTGTTAGTTAAAGTACCAATGAAGTAAAACCCTAAGACCAATTTTGAGAGGAGGAGGAGGTTAACCAGTGTGACAGACCGACCGTGCCCAGGAATATTTTAGCAGACACTATCAGGTGACTGAATTTTGCTCCTCAGTTTTGCTATGTTATCAAAGTCACTGACAAGTGCTTATCTGCAGAGCAATCTTTTAATTTCTTTTTTCTTCACATAATCCCAGCTGTACTTACAGCTTCATCTCATATAGGGTTCAAAGTAAAGTCTAATGTAAAGGCTAACGGCCTTTTAGCAGTTTGGCACCATCTCAGTTTTCAGAATGCATCAGTATCCAAAGTCTCTGTTACTGCCCTACCTCACTGACTGCTTATTTATTTGTAAGTAAATGACTGGCCACTGTTTAATAATAAACACATCAGAATCCTAATAAACCTCCCTCATTTATAAGATGATGCCAGGTCTTCTGAATTTTTCAAACTGAACAGACAACAGAAATGAAAAATCTGTTCCGAGGCATGAGTAATTTAGGCAAAACTGGTAATTTATAAAAGCAAGACTATTTGACAAACATGACCTTTTATCCATGAAAGCTGTCTGAGCATTGCTATGGAATTCTTTTTTCTGAAGTAACTGATGTTTTTCAATATGTTAGGAACTGCACATAAAGCACCTACTGGCAGTTTATTTAAGTATCAAATTTGAGAGTTTGCTGGCACAAGACCTCATCGCCGTCTCTGTATGACTGAAGTGTTTTGAAGTTAAGTAAGGTTGAATCTCATTACGCTGGCCAGAAGTAGAAAAGAGCTGGACCTATTTCAACCATCAGGCACCCACAATTTGCCATCCAAAACAATAAAAATTTATTATCATTCCTATGATTGCTTTTTTAAGTTATTAGCTGTTAGACACTTTTTTAGACGTATCTCTGTGGTATAAAGAGTTAAGAAGTTTGTTTAGTTTGTCTGTCCTCTCTTCTTCATTCTCCAGCTGCTAACAGAAGTGTTAGACGTCAGAGAAGAAGGGGATGGAAAACAATACACTTTAAAACCATTTGAAAATGCTCAAGCTCCGGACAACCACATGATGCAAAACAGGCAAAAATCCTCTGCAAATATCAAATAATACTTTTTGATACTTCAGAAAAATTCTGCTACTTTTTGTGAGCATCTCTTTTTTTCTTTTTTTTTTTTTTTTCCCCCAGAAAAGAAAAAAGAAATCTGATTATAGGAAGGAGCTCTGCAGTGTACTGTGTATGAATACTCAGAAATCCTTTTCATATTGCAGAGACTTGGAAGGTCAGAGCACACAGCACTCTCTCCTGAAGTAGCACTCGCTGCTGTTCTATAATGTATCTTCATAACCTGTAACTGGTACATTTATTACTGTCCTGGTTTCAGCTGGGATAGAGTTAATTTTCTTCCTAGTAGCAGGCATAGTGTTGTGTTTTGGATTTAGCAGAAGAATGCTGATAACACACTGATGTTTCAGTTGTTGCTAAGTGCTGCTTACACCAGTCAAGGACTTTTCAGCTTCCCATGCTCTGCCAGGGGCACAAGAAGCTGGGAGGGGGCACAGCCAGGCCATCTGGCCCAAACTGCCCAAAGGGCTATTCCATACCATACGGCGTCATGGGCAGTATAGAAACTGGGGGGGGTTGGCCGGGGAGCAGCGATTGCTGCTCAGGAACTGGCTGGGTATCAGTCGGCGGGTGGTGAGCAATTGCATTGGGCATCACTTGCTTTGCATATTGTTATTATTATTGTTGTTATTATATTGTTATTATTATCATTACTATCTTACTTTATTTCAATTATTAAACTGTTCTTATCTTACCCCAGGAGTGTTTCTCACTCTTACTCCTCCAATTCTCTCCCCCATCCCATCGGGGTAGGGGGAGTGAGCGAGTGGCTGCGTGGTGCTGAGTTGCTGGCTGGGGCTAAACCACAACAATTACATAAATTCTTTATTTTTTTTAAAGGGAGGGAAAAGAAGTTCAAAAACTGCCAAACATGATGAACAAACTAGTGTGAGGTAACGTTTCCGAAGTTTTCTGACCTTACAGACAATATTAAAAGATTACCATTTCCAGTGACTGTTTTATTGCCCCAGGTAGCAATGCGAGTCGCATCATCTCTCCCAGTTGTTCACTGGATCTGGTTATTGCCCTCAGTTTCTACGTCAGAAGTCCCACTCCTGATAAATCATGACCTGCTTAACTGACATAATTATGGGCAGTATTATAGAAAGCCGATTCAAGAGGAATAAAGCCCACCATCACTCCTATTGCTCTTTTTTAAATTCACTGTAACTTCATTAAACTCCTATTACTGACTGTTGCAGAAAGTAAAGAAGTAAGAAGGAAACTGATTTTACCATTGAGAAATAGCTTCCTTAGAGCTGGCAACTACTTAAACCTCAAATGACTATAAGCTCACAGCAGGTCCACTGCATTTCAACATGTAGCTATGTTTTAATTTCCTTAAACCACAGGGCATAAGTCACAGTTCCAGTAGTGTCTGGAGTGAGATATTCTGTGCTGATAACGATGCAAAGTTTTATATCCTGCAGTTTCCAAATGCACGGTATGCCACAGGAATTTCACAGAATCGAGACAATGATGCCCTTTTGCTTGTATGGGGTTAACACCTTCAAAGGCAGTAGTTTAGTTGTCATTTTTGCGCTTAAATGAATGCATTTCTTGTATTTCTGAATAGCAAGGGTGTCTTGAACACCACTGGCCTCCAAACCCATCTCCCTTCTTCCTCCTACCTTTGTAATTTTTTTTCCAATTTCCTCTCACCAATCTAATGATGATTCTAGCTGATCAAGACACGATGTGCTGCCCATTTCAATCTCTTACGCATTGAGCTTTTCCCATGGTGATGGATATTCTTTTCAAAGAGCATCCAAGCACGCTCCCCAGTCTATTTCCCACCACATCACACTGCTCCCTGCACAATCCCTAAAGAACATTCCCTATTTACACACAACATAATTCTGCTACTAAAACTTTTAAATCAGTATCTATATCTAGAAATGTATTTCATCTCATTACTGTAGTATTTTAACTAGAGTATTACCCTTTCCGAACACTTACAATTAGGAAGTAGCATTATCTTAGCGTTCCAGTTGAGCAGCCAAGTCACAGCACAAATGGTGACGTGCGCAGGATGAGGAAAAGCAAGGAACTGAAGCAGCTTCTCCAGAAGTTCACAATCCTGCTTAAGTGGTCATCTCTCTTCAAATTCCTTTCATTTATCTACACCCTGCCCTTCCAACAGTTAACCAGCTAGCGAATGAAAATTTTATTAAACTACAGCCATGAAAAATAAAAAGCAAGCAGTAGCTGTTGAAGACTACTCAATCTCAGAGACAGGCAAATCTGTATTTTGATGGCCAGACCATGGTGTTATGTACCCTTGAGCTTAATCACCGACATCTCTGAATAATACACCAACATTTCTCAACTGTTATTCAGTGGGGAAAGAGAAAATTTCAAGAAGATATTCAGCAATTTGCAGTTAATTAAAAAAAAAAAAAAAACCAACCAGTTTTTTGTTTCCCACCCAAGCACCACACCAAGCATCCTCTAACACAGCTCCCTTGGGGGCTGCAATCAGCCCACAGAGTCAGTAGCTAAAGCAAGTACATGTATTTTTTTTCCATTTTATTGCACTGGTTTACAATATCATTACTGTGTTATGTTCTGGTCAGTAATATTTTTGACCATTCTATGCTGGGAAATCACTAAGTGTCTATTTTACAGAATGTGCAAATCTACGTCCCATCTACTCCAAAATGTTTAAGGTGTTTCTGCTGTTCATTGTATTCTTCAAATTCTCTGACAGATTGTTAAACTAAATCTGCCAGTTTGTTTCTTAACAAAAGCACTTGATGCCTTTCAACTTCTCCATCCCTTTCACTTTCCTGTATTGATTCTAATTTCCTTTCTTCATGCATTCATCCAACTGGAATCTAAGGGAGGAATAATTATTTGATCGGGTTTGTTCATGCACAGAATAACAAATATAATTATCTGAAAGGCAGCAATATGTGTTAATTTTGAACTACACACAGTCTGTAAACCAGAATGTACTTAAAATTTGTATTCTTTATTTTAACATTAGAAGATAAAACTCTCTATTTGCTAATGCTTGCTGGAGGAGTTGTGAGTTTTACTTTTTATCCTTTACAGGTAAGATTTCCATAATGCTTCAGCAGCAGATGATACCAATACATTATAAAAACAAGACAGACAATTTACAGACCTACCATCACTTGGAAACTTACCTGCTTTTACATCCTGGTTGAATCGACAGTATTTGGAGTGCTCGAGCAGGGGTAGACATTGCTCAATAGGCGTCCAGATGTATGTCTCTGGACACAACAAGTCAGACGGCCTATACTGACCCTAGAAAGAAGAAAAGAAAAGAAAAAAAGAAAAAGAGTAGTCGTATCAGTTGCACAAGAACACTCTGGCTACAACTTTCCAGATTTTCCTATGAACAAGGAATAGTTTTAACCTAATCTACACCAAATGAGTCAGAAGAGCTTCACTGAAATCAAAGGCTTATTTCAGCACCATCTCAGGAATACAAACTTAACCTTGGCACTTGAAGAAAATGTAAAATTAACACAACACATTTTTACGGTATCCAAGATGAACTAGAAAAGTTTTGGCTTTGCTTACTGAAGCTCTGTATTTAAGCTATCCTCTAGAGTTCTGCTGAGTTGGTGCCAACAGTAAAAAACTCAGCACCTCCAAAAGCAGCTCGTCTCGAGTGTTGGTCATTCTAGCAAATAATGGAGACCAAAAAAAAAAAAAAAATCTAATGGAAAAAACCCCCCACTTCACAGTAAGCAGGATGCTATTTTTATTGCATTAGTGATGGAGCATTTTGTTCATTGCTACTTAAATAGTAACATTTTCTTTTTAATTCATGGAGTTTTTCCTGGAATAGCTTACAGGTAATGATTAGTGAAACTCTACCATATTTGTTGATTTATTAAAAAGATATTCTTTGCAGACATTCCCAGAAACTAAACAGCCATAATTATTTTCCCTTAAGCTATACAGAAAATCACCACCTCAGCAATAACCACCTCCTCTAATCAGATCTTCATTTGATTTAAAATAAGATTATTCATCGGCCTATAACTTAAGTCAAAAATCTATCTCTGAGCCACTATTCATTTAATCCATACCCTCTCTAATGTTCAGAGCCATATGGTGGCAATATCAAATTAATTTTTAAACTAAAAATTGATTACACATATCAGCCTGAAAAACAGATATACAATAAAATAGAATGAAAAAGTTTAAGGATCTCAATTACACAGGTCTTGAGGCAACAGTTAAAAGACTGAGCATTACAGGAAATCACTGCAGTGGCAATTAAGAGTTTTTCATATCAAGAATATTAAATAGGTAATGATCATCTTGCTATGAAGTTGATTTTTTTTCCTACATCTACCATGAAAACGCAAAGTGGTCTCGAATGAAGCTGACCAATGTTTGGGAAGGGACATAGATAATTACTGTGACTACAGTCTGGTGATAAGGCCGTATTTTAAAAAGTCACATTCACAAGCTCTGCTGTTCTTTCAGACACGCTCTTATGCTGCAACACCCCATTTTGGAGAATCATTTCTTGAATGTTTGCAGAGATTCCCAATTCCTTTTATTCTCTTACTGTTCAACTCTTCACAATATTTATAGCAGAATTAACTTTTTTTCATTATGTATTTCCCACCAACTTTAAATTGTTGAGTAAGAAATACAAAAATTCTCTCTCATCAAAACAAAGTCATAACTGTCCACATAAAAAAACCAAAGCTTCATGCTGAACCTTGTCAAATATCTGATGCATGTTTCCGAAATGAGTCTGTGTGACTGATTTTCTCATTTGAAAAACATTCAGGATTGACTTGTAACTACCTTTGTTCAGGTTTGGGGTTTTTTCATTGGTTTTTTTGTGGTTTTTTTTTTAATTAAATGCAAATTTCTATATTAAGTTAAAACAATATTGCTACAATTCCATGCAGAAGCTTAAACCTCAAGGCCTTAGAAAATCCTCTAAAGCCAGAGAATGGAAATGATATTATTAAATAAACTGCTTTGAAATTTACGCTATCTAAACAGAAATAGTTGAAAGGTATGTGAAGGTAACGCTTAAAGAACACTTTTAGTCACCCTTACTCAGATGAAACAATTTAAGGACTTAGGGGAAAAAATATGTCTTTCCAGTCAGATTTAAAAAAAAAAAAAATTAGAACGTAATTGCTTGTTGATTTAAAGACATTTTCTCAACTGGCCAAGAAGGCCAAAATAGCCAAGTAGCCATCTTTCGGAGCACAGAAAGTACAAGGTGGCAGTTTAGTCTTTCCTAGTAGCTTGGGAATACTCATGGGCATAAGTAAAGATTGCTCAGTCACTTACAGCTTTCCTAGAAATTACTGCCCCTACATCTTGGAATATATCACACATATGAATCCCACACAAGAAAATTGTTATCACTACACAGCCCTATTCTAAATTTCCCAATTACTTCTATAATGTCATATTCTGTCATAAAATGGGACGTATAAAGTTAACTGCATTGCAGCATTACTAGTTTGGTAATAACAAAAAAGAGCTTCTTTAGTACTGAGCAAACCAGTAGTGGGAAAATTTGATTATACAGTCCATCCCTGTAGATTCAGTATTTATTTTAGGTGTCAAAGCACCCTCCTTAGGAGGAAAAAAGGAAGAAATAGTTCTGAGGTGACTTCCTTTAGATGTTTTCTTCCCCCAAAATTTAGAATCTTGTTAATAAACTTCCCTGAACATATGTGAGGCTGAGGTGATGCCACATCACTGACCAGTGACACACAATGTAATTAGAGGTAAAAATCAAACAAGCCATTGATGCCCTTCAATATCCTCCCTTTCTAAAAGTATTTCCAAACATACTAGAAGTAAGGTGTTTCTCCCAGACAGGCATTTTATTTACACTGCTGGTTAAACCCACATCCCATGACTCATTCCTTGGAGGAAGTGGGACCACAAAGACATACCAAGGCAAGTTTCCCAATGAACGGCACTGGCACTGTGTCTATATTGATAGAATTAAAAAGGGAATCCACAGAGTTTGTTACATCAAATGCAAGAATTTCTAAGGGCTTTTGCCTTTTCTCCCCCCTCTCCTAAGCACTTACTCTCAATTTACTTTCTTTCTTAAAAATGTTTAAAACTTCAATATGAAAATAAACAACTATGAATCCACCTCACATTTTCTTTTCCCCTCTCCCCTTATTCCTGGACTGTGAAAAAATCTGAACGTGAGAACCCAGCCAGATTCTGCCTCATATACAGGAGCACCTGTGCTTCACGAAAAATGTTTGGATTTTATTATTCACTCTAAAATGATTACATCATCTAAAAACCTTGCCTTTAAGCACACTATTTCTATTCCTTCTTATACTTCATATTGCTGATTTGCAGTATAAACCCAACATAAATCCAAAATAGAGAGGGGATCTCCTGAAGGGAACTGCTGCAAGGCTGTTTATCACAGTAGAAGAACTTCATCAGATTTGCAAAGCTGGTTTTGAAAATCATTTCTCTTTGGCTTCAGGTTAAATCAGCATACATTTCAGAAGTCACTCTGTCGATGGTAAAATTCCACAACTGAAAACATTTTGCTTTCTTTTATCTGATAATGTAAAAGCTCTTGCACAGTAGCACTGTTTATGCTACCCAGACCGTATTGGGAATACTTAACGACAAGACTTTCAGCAAAAAGTATCATCTTACAGACCATCCCTAAGCACTTGTCTTATGTTTCAGCTTCTTAAATCCAATACCACCTGCTGATAAAATGCACTCTGTCAATATACAGCAACTGCACATATTTCTGTCTGTGCATCTACATTTTGTCAAGAAATACCCAACAAAATGTAAAATGTGCTATTTTAAAATGGTTTTGAAAAAAAAAAATTGCCTAAAATGTCATTATTTTTTATGCTGTTTAAAATTTTCAAGGACATCCAGAAACACCCTTCTTGAGACAGAATATTACCGCATTTTGAGCTGTTATAACGTAAGAGCCACTGCAGGTCATAGCAGATATCCATGGTATAGTCAGATATCCCATCTCTACCAGTCCTCAATAGAAAATACTCAGTGAAGGCTAAAAGAACAGTATAAGCATATAGTGTTACTCTGCCGATACTCTCTTGACCTCCAACAGTTTGCAGCACAGATCCTTCCACAACCAGGTAACTTCAGTAAAAATGCATTTTACCATTCAACAATCCTAAGCGACTGCTTTGATTTACTTCAATCTGCACGCTGAAGTTCTGTTTGGTGACCATTCCTACCTCTATTAAAGAAATGCAGCAAAGAATCGTTGCCTTATCACCACGCCACTCGTGATTTTACAGACAAATATGGTACCCTCCATCAGTCTGAAGGAACCTGAATTCTTTACTGCATCTTCTTAAAGTACTCTATACCTTTAACCATCCTAGTCAATCCGTTCTTTTTCCAATTTTGCTTTCTCTTCTTTGAAACAGCGGGAAAGGGCATCAGGGGAAAAGCATCCAAACCGCACTGTTCAAGGAGCACAAGGTATAATAAAGATAGAAAAAAACCAAAAGAAAAAACTGCATTTTTATAAATATCTGACTAATCTATCAAATGGCTTGATTAACAAGCAATATTGAAAATTAGTAGAGCTAAGAAATTCCTGAGTATGTCCTTTCTTCTACCACGTCAACTCATGGCAATATAAATGTGACTGCTTGTTTAAGGAAAAAACGCTCCAAGAAGTTTTATTTTCACTAATGTTTGGGGCTTTTTTCCTCCTATATAATAGAAAAGAAAGAGCCTTTAAGGTGCTTTCCCTTATACTATTAGACATGCTGCATTTTAATTGGAAACTTCTGGAAATAAATTTTACAGTGAGGCTGCCAAGCCTAAATTAATACTTCACACCATGATATTTTTTGTTTTACAGTTTCCAAATCAGAATCAACCAGAACTTCTCTGAACTTTTGTTCCACAGGAAGGGCAAAGGTTTTAATGAGACTTTAGTCTGGAGATTACTTTTTAAATATTTTGTAAAATCTGAGGGATTTGGTAAGCACTTGAGATGAAAAACACCAGCGGAGTTTGTTTTTGTAGTCTTAAGTAAAATTTAAAATGTGAAACTACCAAGAAAGAGAATAGTCTCAAAAACGAAGAAGGTCAAGCACCAGTAGCTCTGAAAAAACACAATCGGAAGGTTAAACACACATTTCATTCTTTTATCAGGTACAGTTTACATCTGCATTCTATTTTTTCACAATAAACCCATTGATCTTTTATTAAAAGTGAATTAAGACTGCCTTCATCTCCATTTCCAGCCAGCTGCTTAAAAAGCAGCTCTC